ATCTATAGTAATGTAGCACTATACTTCCTTGACAACTGTACCATAGTAACATAAAGTCCAAACTCCCTGTAGTATTTGGTAACAGTTTTATATATCTAAAATTACTGCAAAACAGAAAGTTGATTTTCAAAAAGCTCAGTGATGGATATCAGAGGATCCACTTGGAAGAACGTAGTAAAGAAGGAAATTATATGGTGAACTCCTACCATCTTGTCTAGTGAAACTCTGTATTATCTCTACTGTTTTATTGGAGAATTATTTTCTTATTCTCTTTAATGGTTTGAGCAATCTTTCATTCTTATGTCTGGTAATCTGAACAATGTAGTTAAGGATAGTAATATGTAATGTAACAACCACTGTTGATTCATATTATTTTGTCTTTAGACCCTGTATCACTTTGAATGTTCTTGCTCTGATTTGTTTATGTTCATGATAATGGCATGCTGCTGTTGTTCTATTTTGCTTGTTTGTTTCTCATTTACTACTCTCCTTAAAATAAAAAAAAAAGAAAAGAAAGAAATTGTAAATCTCTGTCAGGTTCATCAAATATGGGCACATGCATATGCGTACCTGCATCATAGGTCTAAGTATCTTGTCATCAGAGCAATCTTTCATACTACTAGGCAAAATAGAAGCAAATCCATTACATTTCCCTCCCGTAATCTTTCTACAATACAGTAACTGCAGATTCAAAAAATGTGAAAGGTACAAACTTTTCTTTTGTCATTGCTCCCTAAAGAATACAGTACAGCAGCAATTATTTACCTAACATTTACACTGTATTGTGTCGTAAGTGATCTAGAGATGATTTAAAGTACATGGGAGGATGTGAAAAGGTTATATGCAAATACTAACCTGTTTTTTTGTATGACCATTTGACCATCCATAGAGTTTGGTATCCACAAGGGATCCTAGGACCAACCTGGTGCAGAAGGCTGTGCTTATTTGTGTTCTCAGTATTGTTTCCACAGGTGAGGAACTGAGCTGGTGCTGATGGCAGGCACAAGTGGAAGGAGGTCAGCCTCTCCTCTGGACTGGCCTTATGAACCTGCCGTCTAACAGGAGATGTGACAGCAGAGCTGTTTTAATGGCCACAGCCACAACAGTCACCGCTGCCACTTTTGGAGAGCCCGGCAATGAGCCAGTCTGAGCACCAGGGGTTTCATGTATAAGATTACACTTAACCCTCAGCACTCTACGAGGTTGCAATTATATTCTCATTTTAGAGATGAGAGATTCTAACATCAGAGAAGTTAAATTACTCAACAAGGTTGCAACTGAGATTCAAGCACAAACTTTTCTGACTTTGCTTAATAAACCACTTACCAGGGAAAAGCCATTAGTGAAAATGCTTGAATGCTGTACCTAATTAATCCTAATATCATGAGTATCAACCAACATACTTAGCACATATATACTATATATTATATCCATTATTCTAAGACAGTGTGTGTAAAAGTGTTGTTGAACATTATCTTTACAGGCTATAATTGTTTTCAGTTGTCTCAAAACTGATTTTAGCTGTTAGTCTTCTATGCCCTAGACTCTTGTGAATTATCCTAGCAATTCAAACAGAGTTAGTACTAAAAGGAAAGCTTAACCAGTTGTCACGGGATAGAGTTATGTCTTGGCCAGTATCAAGTTATTCTAGATACAAAAATATATGCCTTCTCAATGAATCTCTTTCAGAGCTGGAAATACAACAGACTATCTTTGCATGGTCTATATGACTTCACACATCATTAATGATCCATTTATATACCTCATTCAGTTGATGGTAGTGATTTTATGATGACATTATTATAGATTGGCTTTAACGTATTTTTAATATGGCCACTTTCTCTTTACATTCTCTTTTCAGTTGGATAGACATTCCCTTATTGCCAACTGTAACCATTAACTCCAGAACTGATGAGTCATAAACAGTGTGTGCCTTAGTCATTTCCCATTTCTCAGACACAATACTTGACACCCAAAAGTTAGAGGAGGACAGGTTTACTTAGTTCATAGTTTCAGTCCATGGTCAGCAGGCTCCAGGACAGAAACAGGACGGCAGAGGGGCATGGCGGAGGAAAAGGTGCTCAACTCATGGTTCCCAGGAAGCAGAGAGATACAGGAGGGGCCAGAGATAAGAATACACCCTTCTAGGTCTTGCCCCAAGTAATCCAAATCCAAAGAGTCCTCATTACCTAACAGCAAGTGAGCTAAGAACTCACAAGGGGACTGATCCATTAATGAGCATAGTGTCCTCCAATCACCTTCCAGACACAGGAGGCTTTGGGGAGATGTTTAGATCTAAACACAACAGTGAGGAAGACTGAATGTTTTAACAAAGTCTGAAATCTACCGACAAGAGCTGGGAAAGAGACTGTCAAGGTCTCATCCTCCCCATGCTGTTATTTTACAGGATAATGTTTCCTCAGTGGAAGGGAGATGGGAAATATTTGCCATAGTACAGTCATCTTCATGCTGAAATATGTAAAGCAATTAAAGGGGCTGCTATTCTGCATTATCAGAGAACCCTGCACCACAGATAGAAGCAGGGCTTTGGTAAACAACAAACATCCACACTTGTAATCTAATAGGAGCAACGATCCAGACACATGGGCAAGAATCTATTAAATGCGGGTGGCACACAGCCACATGCTGCCTGAATAAATCACTCGCTTGTGCCATTCAGAAAGGGAACTAATTTTTTAAACCCATTAACACACTACTGTTCTAGTTCACACTTTGATGGCTGTAAATGGACTGTTTAAGAGAGCTCGCGCTCTCTCTTCTCCTGGGATGCAGGTCAGAGTACACTTCTAGAGTCTAGATGTGTTATCTAGATGTGTTCTGGGAATTGCATTTAATTATGCCTCTGAAATGATACCAGTTTTGGCACGCACATCACACAGGAACTCATGCTTTTTTTTTTTTTTTTCGCTTTGCCTTTGTATTCCGTTTGAAGTCTGTGAGCCCTCCCATGAGTTTGTCATCCGTTGAAAGTTGGAGCCATGGAAAAGAACAAAGTTAGGAGGAACAACCGTAACTTCAAAGGACAAACTTCCCTGGGTAGCTAAAAGTTAGAAGCATCACTGCCATATATTAAAAATAGAATGACTGAGGGGGCAACTTTTACTTCCAACTTAGTGTTGTCTTCTTCAACCTCAGATCTTTTGAATACCCTCTTTATTCCTCCCCTTTGAGATGGGTCCTTTTGGCTTCCAAAGATGGCTGAATTTGTTGGACCCACATTTATGCCAAATACTTGTCCAAATTTAAGAAGTTTCTCCACACAGAAGTGTTGTCACATAAGATATGATGAGCAAAGCACTTGCCAGGAGACGTCATCTTTCTGTAAAAACTCAAACTACAATTACCTCTGCCAATGGTGTACAGAGAAAGCCACAGAGAAGACAGAACAGATAGCTGAAAGGCTCCAATGAGCCATAAATCTCATTTCAGCCCCAAATTTCAAACGCTTCCCCTGTCCCCACTGACTTTCTTCAGAGTCGATGGTAAAAGACAAAATCTGACTTGAGATCCACTATTCTTTGCTACTTTGAAAACGTTTTACACTATTTATTTGAAAATTTGACATGAAGAACACAAAACACTCTCCTAATTAATAGTTCTAAAACTCAACCGAATGTACACTGTAGCTCTGTTTTCACTGCAAATTAGATCTCATTTACATTAGAAAATTCAGTGGTGTTAACAGAAGGAAGAAATGCAGAGATTGAGAGAACTACTCCTCCTTCAACCCACTTTGCTACCAAAGGAAATGACAGTAAAGGACAGAAGTGAAGGCTGAGACAAAACCAAAGGCACCGATGCTTAACAAAATCAACTGAAAGGGTAGAGAAAGCTCTAGCCAGCTCTGTAACTGGGTCACCAGCGAAAACGACACTCGCTCACTGCAGGCTGAGAATTCCCCGCACCCCTCCTGATACTGTCCTAGGTTTGGGATTTCCATCCACAAAGCCCTCTGTAGATCACAGATTCAAGAATCCGAACAGGAAGTCAGTCTCTCTGGAGCATTTCCCACCCACCTCCACTCCTGCCAATTTAACTGTTGCCTCTTCTACATTTCTACTGTAACCACATTTGGAGACTAGACAGAGTTCTGCTTAATAAATCTTCTTTCCACACAAAACTCCTCTCTTCCAAGTTACACCCTTGCCTGTCCTCTTGGACACTGGCCTCCCTTATCTTCTCTGGTCTTACTGCACTTGGCTACTGACACCCTCAGTTAAGAAGGAAGCCAGAAACTTAACGTCTAGAATTCCTGTGGTCTTAATTTCTTCTGGTCTACTTTACCCAATGATTTCATATATCATGATTTAGAAATAGATCTAAAAAAGTGACCAGAATGTTTACAATCTCCAATAAATATTGACTGATGAAGTAAACCAACAATTAGCTGTGTATTCAAAGAGACAGACAGAAACTATAAATATGAGAAGTAATTCATACATGGACTTAACTGAAAATTTGAAAAACAATAGTCTCTCATTATTGATGAATCACTCTATGATCTGAACATCTCAGGGACTTTCTTTCACCTAAGTACCATAGCACAGGAAATCAAAGTGGCAGGTGTGCCTTCATGGATAACTAAGCTGCACCTATAAAAGGATAAGGGACTTATTTGATAATGCAGGCTCCAGGTAGAGTTTTGTGTTATCTGAAGCATTTCTGAGTGTTTCCAAACCATGCAGTATCATCAGCTTTTTGCTTTCTCATTTTAGATAAAGCTGAGACTAAAGTGGTGAATCAGTCCAGAGCTCCCGACTTGGGCTCCACAGCAGAATGACTGGACTCTGCTGCCTGCTCTTCCCAGTTCTTCCCTCGGCTCACATATTATCACCAGGAGTTCACATGTTACCAGGTTTGTCTTCACATCTCTGACCATATTTTCAGACAGAAGGGCTAGAGAATCTACCCATCAAAGGAGAATCAAGAAGCTGAGGACAGGTGGATCACATGAAATCCATTAGACACTTGCAACTTACAAGCTTCCCGGAGTTTCTCTTTGTCATAGTGGAATCCTTCGTAGTCTTGTAAACTGATTTTGTTCACTCGGATCCTCAGACGATCTGGGACAGACTGGGGACTGCAAAACAAGAATCAGGTGGTCAGATACAAATGAGAGAGTAGAACTGGAGTTCGTGCACTTGCAGGCATGAGGGCAAGGTCACCTCTTCTGGCTTAGAAGGAAGGTTCACATTCACACCAGAATTGTGGGTTGTATAGGAGAATACAGCAATGATCGGGAGAATACTTCCCCAGAAAACGAATGCCTCTGGAATTTAGGTAAGAACTAAATTGAATAAATATGTAGAAATAGTCTTTTAAAACCACTCATATCATGTTTGCTATTAATTTCTTAAAATTCTTAACAGTCACGTCTTTGTTGTGTAACTAGATACAGCTAAACTGAAACAGTAAAAAAAAGGGATGAATCTATAAATAACTATAAGTAAAGAGGCCTATAAGAGTCCAACCTAGTCAACTGTGACCTGATCTCAAGAAGAGACAGAAAAAAACTATTTAATCGTACAAAATAAGTGCCCACAAAGCACAAGACTAAGATTAAACAGCTCTGAAGAGTCTCTGAAAGCACCTCTTAATTAAAGCACATACATTAAATACTTCCTGTGAGCACCCCCAAACCAGAAAAAGAAGTTCAATATTTACAGAACAGTTTCATTTGGAGGAGAATGAGGTATACAACTTGTTCTGAAAGAATTCAATCCAAACTGGCTCAGGACATATACTAAACAATTAAAGGCAGTAGTACCAGATTTTCTGAAGCACCCCACTCACATGCAGAGTGTCCACAGCAGGTTTCTTCAATTTTCCTTAAACTAAATCTTCAAAGTAATTAGATCTTGGATATAAGATGAGTAAAGTAACTTAGTGAAGTTGATTTTCATCACTTCTGCTCTGGATCAACAAATTATTTTCAACATGGTGATATAGCATAATCCCCACTCACACTTGAGTACCAACTTATACCCAGGTTTCACTGGTTGAGATAACTTTCTCAAATAGGAGATTGCTGCTCATTTTATATGAAATGACAAGAAAAGTCACCATTGACTAAAATAGAAAGAATACCATTCCTTTCTTGTTCTATAAAAGGAGAAAAGGAAAGAAAAGAAGAGGAGGAAAGGCAAGAAGAGTGGAGAGGAGAGGAGGGGAGGAGAAAGGATGGAAGGAAAAGAAGGAGGGAGAAAAAAGACAAGAAAGGATAGAAGGAAAAATAATACTTTAAAAAGTAGTCCAGACACTTCTTTCTGCCACCACACACGTGTGCAAACACACACACACACACACACATACATATACCATACACAAACAGTTTTAAAATGTACATAGAAAAGCACAAATTCTAAAGAAAGGTAGCAGACGTGTGAAAATGTCTAAGTTTTACTGAATGAAAACAAAGCCAAAGTGGGAACCACAGAGATGGTTCATCGTGGGGGCAGCTGAGGAGACAGGCTCGGTGGCCATACTGCTCCGTTCTTCAGAGTGTGTGTGCTGGGTATCTAGTTTGTGTCACCATTATGCTGGACACCAAAGAGGCACTGTGCAATAAAGTGCGTACGAGCACTTAAGTGATGATCAGGGATCTCATTTGACATAATAATCTCTTCAGATTACTAGGACAAATCCTAAGTATAATGCATAGCCACAGCATCATTTTACAGGTAGATAAACTGAGCGTCAGAAAGGTAAGGTGATTTTAAGGTCACCTAGCCACTAAGTGGTAGAACTGGGAGCAGAGCCTGGTTCTCCTTAGCCAGCAGTTTCATGGTCTTTCTTTCCTACAATTCTCTTAAAAGGGACTCACCCTCCCTGGTCAATGGATAAATACCAAGAGCTCTGTGGATATGACAACAAAGCCATAAAATCAGGACTAGCACAGTCAAGTGATCTCTGTATGGAGCAATGACCCTTTCCCAATAAACAATAGACAAGGAGCTGCTTCAGTAAACTGTGGTACATTCTAATGAAAGAACACAAGGCAGATATCATTAAAGAATGCTCATATCTATATTTACTTAGCGGAAAGTCTGGCAACCACATGTTACAAAATGAAAAAAGGTTCATGGAAAATAATACCATAAGTGCCATAAATTGTGGAATTTAAGAGTTTATGTATTCAAGTGGAGAGTCTGGAGCAATGTTCAACAAGCTGTCAAAAGTAGTTATCTCTACAAGCTGGGATTTCATGATTGAATATCCTCATTTCTACAGCAATTACCTAGTTACAGTATTTTAAATACACGTCAACCTTGAAATCACTGATAAACCCAGATAATAGTAAAAATAGGAATTACTGGAAAGAGTGCTAGGTATTAGATATGAGTAGACAGAAAAGAATGTGAACTATTAACAGAGTGGCCACACAATGTTCATACCAAATACTTATCCAAAAATTAAGGGAGTCTGATCTTTTCGCTTCCAAGTTCACCTATATTATGTATAAGATTGTAATTACCGATTTTTTTCTACAAACATGACCGGTCAGAGAGAAGCTATAACCATACAGTGCGGCAGCCCTTCCTATTCTGTAGTGGGAGAAAGAGGAGTACAGGGATCAAATGAGCTCTATCTAAACAAGATAACAGTAGCTTCAGCCTTCCCCTGTGGGCTGGAGGTACTAAGACCAAGACTTCATCACAATAGCAGTTGCCCATGGGAAACAGGGTTCAGGAAAGGCCCAATGACCAGGCCCTGCTCCCTACCTCTGGATCTTTTCTGACTTTGAACTGACCTGTGTGCACCACCTTTCTCAAACCCCATCAGTGACTGCTCCCTGTCCACACACTTTTTTTTTTTTTTTTTTTTTTTTTGGTTTTTCTCCGGCACCAGGAACCGAACTCATGACCTTGCGCTTGCCAGGCAGGCGCTTTGCCGCTGAGCTAAATACCCAGCCCCTCCACACACTTCTTGATCCCATGTGCTCATCTATGTCCCAGATTCCAGTTCATTCAATGTTGCCTCCCCAACCACTGGCTTCCCACCAATATTTCTCATTGCCAAGGGGCTCACCGTAGACAAACAATGGGGGTTACTATTTGAACAGAATTGTTTAGAGAACAAATTAATTCACTTATTAATTCATTTCATCTCCAGAATAACTAGCTTAGCAAGAAAGAAGAAAATGAATGCTCTCACTGACCACCCCTGAACACCTTCTCCTGCCTTGTGTTCTATCTTTTCAACGTGCAACACGTCCAGCTTTCCCATCAACAGCAGCTGTTTTAAACCCAATCTCCTGATGTAGTTTTTGGGTGTTTTGTCTTCTATCAAACTCTTCCAAGTTGAGATCCTTCAACAAATTTTAGGGAGTCACACCATGGAGTCCACAGTGGATATCCCCTGTGAATCATTCCTGAGTCAGGTGTGAACAGTAGGTATCAGAGGGAGCAAAGTGGTTAACAGCCCAGGCTCCAAACAGATTCACTGGATCTGAAGTAAAATTCTTCCAATTACTGTTAGTCAAGAAATTTGGTGCAGTAGTTTCCTCATATGTAAAATACAGATGATAGTAGTACTTATCTACTTCACAGGGATGAGTATGAAGGGAATCTATACATACATGCTTCAAAAATTACCCTGGTACATTACCAAGTGCTCAGTAGATATTAGCTTGTATCATTATAGTAAGTGTTCTGAAATTTCTCTCTTGTATAAGATCTTGTCTAACACTAGCACCTACTGTTGCCAAATATGAGAAGTTAAGAGCACACATGAAAGCTTCTGTAGGCATTTCTGACAAGGTTATGGGGGAAAACTGTCTAACTGGCTGGTGTCATGACGTTTCATACTTTCCTGGATCCTCTCCCATCTGGTATTTTACACAGCCAACTAATGACAAGAACACAGACAGCTAAAGCACAGGGCAGGAAAAGTGCACAGAGACCAAATGAAAGTGAAGGAATTCAATTTTGTCCCCTTATGTCAAAATATTTTAGTGTCCCATTGATGGCTGACTGAAGGTAGAAGATGACAAAGCTGTTCCTTGGTGTCTGGGACATAGCACTGCCATTAGTTTTCTAAAATTAAATTTTCCAGGGAAGTTAGTAGAGCATAGAAGAGAATAACTTGGGGAAAAATGAATTTGCCTCCTGCCAACGTGTACCACAAATTATTAGCATACTGATTTAGGCAGCCCATCAAGGGCTCTAAATCTGACTTCCATGGGACCATTCAAGCTTCCTAGAAGGGACTCACCAATCTGTTAACTCAACATAAGATCTCTCACTAATTTCCTCTGCAACATCACCGCTGAGCTTCTTATGCACAGAGGAAGTTCATAGCTCTGGATTTCATACCCAGCTGTCCCTCATAACAACTTTCTTAACAGCCTTCATAAGATGACTTCTCATCAGGTCACTCCGGTGGGCTTCCAACTACCTCTAGACCACAGTTTTCCTTACCTCCATCACACACACACACACACACACACACACACACACACACACACGTCACCCCGAGATGCTGGAAGAGAAGTGGACAGCCATCCCAGTGCAACAACTCCCTGAATGCTCACTGGCATTGAATGTACACCTGAGTCTTGCTACTCTTTGCTCTTCCAAATATGCTGTTTACTGTTACTGTGTAGAATTTCAATCCCTCAGAGTCAAATTCCCCCCTATCTCCTCAAAACTCTGCAGCTTTGATTTCTGAAGAAGCACAATTTCATTCAGCCTGGGAGAAGACTCCTCTTACCCTGCACCCTACCTCCAACTTAGGTATTATTTTCCCATGGCTGAAGCACAAGGGGTGGGTGCTCTGGTTCCCTAGGGTCACTTTCCAACTCCTGATGCCACATGACTCCTTCTTGTCACTGAAGACATGAATCACATGGGTACGGCACCCGTTAATATCAAGGTAGTGCAGCACAGTGAGGAAAGAAAGATGTAGTCAGAAGGATCTGAGTTCCAGTCTAAACTCTATCAAGTAATTTACACTTGATATTTAGAAAACTAAAGTTACCTTCTCAAGTCACTCTGTGATCTGAAAATGGAACTGGTGACAGGAATACAGTGAGTACTGAGCCAAAAAATGCACATAAGGCAACACATTATCAGTAAACAT